GAATTTAGAAAGGAGTGAAAAGCTAAAAGAAGATTACCTTTGACCGTGTTCCAATTGGTTTGAAAGAAAAGAGGAGTAAGACCGTCTGGCCCAGGGGCTTTGTAAGGACCCATAGACCAAAGTGCCAGTTTCAATTCCTCTTCAGTTGCTTCTTGGAGAAGCGCCGCATTCATCTCATTAGTTATCTTGGTTGCACCGAACTCCAAAAATTTGTTTGAAAATCAGCAGCAGCACTTGAGAAAATAATGGAGAAATATGACTGTAATGTTTCTGATCCCCAACTTAGAATCACAACACTGCCCATTCGAATCTTCTAGTCCCACAATCGTATTTTTCTTCCTTCTGACGAGAGCTTTCCGATGAAAAAATTTAGTATTATTATCTCCATGCTGGAGCCAACTCACCCTAGATTTTTGAAGCCAAAACATCTCTTCTTCTCTCCAAGCCTTTCCCATATCAGATTCCAATTTGAAAGAGGCAGCTTTATCGAAGTTTGGATGATGAACATCTGCAGCAGCTAACTTTTTCTGAATATCTTTAATCTTGGTACCAGCATTCGACATTTTAGACTTACCCCGTATCTTCAACTCTTCTTTGCAGTTCTGGATTAGACTGCCAACACTGACCCACTACAACATGAAAATCATTCTCTCTAATCCATCTAGCTTTAAAATGGAACTTTTTCTTTAAAGCCCGTATCCTCTATTCAGCTCGAGTAGTAGAGCCTGATGATTAGAACCATGCACTGGAACATGATGTAAACAACCATGTGGAAAACTACCAGACCATTCCAGAGTACAAAGGGCTCTGTCCAACCGCACACTGATAGTGCGACACTAACCTCTTCTGTTGCACCAAGTGTATGGATTTCCATTGAACAAATCCAAAAGTTGGTAACGATCAATAAAATTCTTAAAACTCCTGAGCATCCACCCTTGTTTCGGATTCCCTCCCCCTTTATCTCCTAAGTGTAGTACAGAATTAAAATCACCCATTAGAATCCATTTTGAGTTGAGCTTTAATCGGAGAGGGGCCAAATAATCCCATTGTTAACCTTTATTTTCTCATCACAGGAAGCATAGAGCCCTGTGAAGGACCAAATAGCCACCCCTGGGCTACCATCAATTTCACAAGAAATCTGAAATTCATTCCAATCCACATTTGATAAAACAAAACTATACCACCTGCAATACCTCTTGGGTTAACAAAAAAAGCAGCATATCCTCCTTACACTATCCACATAACCTTCTTGATTCTCGGTCTCCATTAAACATACCAATAACGAATGAAGGTGTATCAACCTTCTCAATTGGGAAACTGTCAGGGGTCCTACCTAGAGCACTAATTATTTTTGTGGTAAACACTAAACAGATCAAGAGTCGGTATGCAGTATGCTGCATACTCTTGGATTTGGTCTGACAAAGGGTGGGTATATATGTGAGTGAATGGATGAGAAAGCAGAAGTTGTGTGGCTTATGCTTTCAGTACTTGGCAGATGTAATGGTGGATATATAGTAGATTTAAGTGCAAAGGAGATTGAAGATAGATCTATGCATGATAATATGAAGCTGTAGGCACTCTTGGAATGTATATTTTGTCTTGGTTTTCCTTAAATGTTTTTACAAACGAAGCAATGCTAGCTGTTCACAATTGATGCTGTGCACCTTATTGGTACTGAATTTTCCATCCTGGCATATTTAATTTGCTCAAAAAATATCTACTCGGCAACAATGAAGTGCAAGTTTCCTTGTCTCTTGAATATAATCTAATGGATAATGATTTGAAATCTGACAATGTAAAAAGGAGTAGCCTCTACAAGTTCAATAGTAAAATATATGCAATACTATATAACAAATCACAAACTTATTAAAAGTTAGAATATCACATTCAAAAGATAAATATCCAATTATCTCAATTATATGTCCAAATAATTTTGGGAGACATACCTTCTATTTCACTAAAATTTGTCTTAGAAGAATAAGAATCCAAAAGGGGGAAAATTTAGAAAACAATTCCAGAATAGCAAAATAACGTGTTGTAAGACGCGTTTGGCGAAACCTCTCTTCAACTATGTATCCAGTATAATGAACATCCCAATGAAGAAACCTCCCTTCAACAGAAACATGGTCAAACCAATAATACTTCCTCTCCCCTATATGAGAAGCTCCGTTCATCTATTTCCACTTCGAGGAATTGAAAGACAATGACTGCACAAGTATCACACAGTGAACGACTTTTGACTGATAACCACATGAACTACCTCATATACTCCCTTGAATTTATCAAATGCAAGAACTAGACCGCACTTGCATTCAAAATGTCCTCCACAAGACCGTGAGTATGAGCATCCGAGAAGACGAGACTATTCCTTGGTATGTCAATGTATTGTTCTTTCATCCTCACATTGAATCCTAATTCTTGGTCATCCAGAAGACGTGTTTCATTAAAAATGTTTTCCTTCATAGGATGGCTTTTGGAGGATTAAAGAATCCTGGTCGAACAAGATCCAGTCAGTGATCATTTTAAACTATCGCCTGCATACATACTTATATTTGTACCGGAGTAATTCAGATGGTAGAAAAATCATGATGTCCAAAAATAATTTAAGAAGAAAGCGACTGAGTTGTATATGAAGGTTTCCCTTCTCAAATGCAATCATGTCCGATTTCTAATTTAAATAAAATCCAACTCCACCACCTTTGAGTTTTTAGTTGTTAGTGTATTCCGCTCAACAGGGTTGCCAAACAGCACCCACCTCCATTTGTGAACCTTTCAATAAAGACGTCCCAAGTGGAAGGTTGAGGGCTTATAAGGGGCAATAATGAGTGTGCATTTGTCTTACTTATCATAAAAAAAGAAAAAGAAAAAAAAAAAGGCTATATATATTATTTCCAAAAAAACCTAGTATTCTTAGCATTTTTTCCTAGTATTCTTAGCATATAAAGGGCACATCCATTGAATTTCTGTTTTCAAATCCAGCAGGCAATACAGGACATACGTGATCTTCCCCACTTTGACACCAAGTCTGGTCTTCTGAATGAAAACACTATTTTTCTGCATAATAGTTGGATGGATCGAGTATCTAAACAGCGGACACTTTACTCACAGACTTCACAGTATCTGAGTCTCAGACATGGAAATTTCTAGCTTCTTAAAAGTGCAGGTGATGCACTCCAACAATGTTTGTTATTTTTTTATTTTTTATTTTTTGAAAAGTAAATGCAGATTTATATTTATATAAATGAACCAAACAAGCGTACATGATCCTGTAGTTAGCACAATGCTAACACAACTACAAGCTTAAATTAAAGCTAGAACCAGAAGCAGAAGCCCATATTAAAGCTGGATTTACAAGTCCAATCCACACATGCCCACCCGAGAATCAAAGAATTGATCGGGCAGTGTTAAGGGTTTCATGGTAGAAAATTTGAAAGTAATGAAAGTTTTATGAGACCTTTACTTAATTAATTAACTGCACTAACTATAACATTGCATACCCCAGGAAATAACATTACCTTATTCTACATTTCATCCCCCAAGAAATAACCTGCTTTGTTGAGGAATGCTTCCCCAAATATAAGACGCTCCACCATCACAAAAATATGAGAGGAACTTACAATCAGGAAATCAAAGCAACAGTCATGCCTACTTCTCTGGTGTGAATGATATCCTGCAAGAAGATATTCTCTCATTATTGGGTTATGAGAAAGAGGAGCTGCCTGTAAGATATTTAGGAGTTCCATTGGTGACAACCATGCTTCGAGCCAATGATTGTAGAGCCCTAATTGACATGATCACAGCTTGGATAGCTCACTGGACTAGCAAAAACCTATCCTTTGCAAGCAGATTAAAGGATAGGTTTTTGCTAGTCTAATGAGCTATCCAAGCAACAACTGGCCTATCCATCAACTGTTTGTTCTCCCATGGTGACTTTGCCTCTGTTGAAGTATTGAATATTGCACTTAACAACTTCCTTCTAGCATCTGGCCTATTGTAACAAGGGTCATTTTGTCCCACATCGGAATCGGATGAGAAAGAGATTGGGTATAAATGGGTGGGTATGCAACTTTACCTAACAATTCGAGCTTTTGGGTAAATGGGCAAGCGCCCACCTGTTACAGTTGGTATCAGAGTCAAACCCAGTCCTTGATCCGGTGCCACGCCAAACGCCCGGCCCGGAAGGCGTCCGGGTGAGTCCACCCGGGTAGGCAGGGTGGCCCAACCGCAACGAGGGCGTTGTGAGTTTGGGTAGGGGAGAATGTAACAATGGTCATTTTGTCCCACATCGGAATCGGATGGGAAAGAGATTGGGTATAAATGGGTGGGTATGCAGCCTTACCTAACAGTTCGAGCTTTTGGGTAAATGGGCAAGCGCCCACCCGTTACACCTATCCATAAACTGCTCCAAAAGTCAAGTCTTCTTCTCAGGGGTGGATAACCTCACAAAGGCTAGCATTGCATCTTTACTTCAATTTGAAATTGGGATCCTACCAATCATATACTTAGGGCTGCCATTATCTTCTTCAGCCATCAATGCAACAAATTGCCAAACACTTGTACAAAGAATCACAGCTAGAGTTAACACGTGAATAGCAAGGTTTCTTTCTTATGCAGAAGGGGCTGTATTGATCAAGATTGTGCTTTACTTAATTGAAACCTACTGGACACAAGCATTTGTTTTACCTTTAGGAGTGATTGAACAAATTAATTAAATCTTGAGAGCATTCTATTGGTCTGGTACTGAGCTTAGGAAAATAGGAGCTAAGGTAGCTTAGAGCGCCATTTGCAGACCAAAAATTTGTGGAGGGCTGGGGTTTCCTTGCCTTGACCTCACCAACAGAGTTTCAAGTCTCAAGCACCTCTGGAGGCTTTGCTGTAGAAAAGGCAGTTTGTGGATAGCATGGACTTACAGGTATCTCATCAAGAATAAATGTATATGGACAGTCAAAGCTTCATCACTGAGTTCAGGATTTTGGAGGAGGCTTCTCAAGTTGAGAGGGATGGCAACGGGTCTTGTGAGGCACAGAATAGGGGCGGGAAATTGCACAAGCATGTGGATGGACTACTGGTTACCTAATGGCCCTATCACAATGCAGCTTGGTCTCTCTGATGTGGAAATTCTTCAACTGGACCCTAGAGTCACAGTTGATAGTCTAATTTCCAACAATCAGTGGGAAGTACCAATCTCTCTCCAACAAATCCCTTTTTTCCAAAGCCAAGCCTTCACTTTACAGCTGCAAAATATCCCACCCCCTTCACATGCTTCAGATAAAGTAGAATGGTTCCCTAGTTCACCCAATGAATACTCTCATAGGCTCACCATGGAGTATTTTACTCCTCCCTCACTGGTTTTTGCTTGGGATTAGCTTGTATGGTTCAAACATCACATCCCAAAGCATGACTATATTGTTTGGCTGGCACTTAAAAAGAGACTTGCCACACTTGACACCAAGCCAATGATGAAGAAACACTACACCAATGCATGCTACCTTTGCCTTGCACAAGAGGAATCACTTGACCATATCTTCTTCAAATGCCAATTTAGCTCCAGAATCTGGGAATTTGTTCAACATGCAGCTGGGTTTTACATTAAATCTGACAGTTGGAATGACTTGATCACTTGGTGTGCTACAATATGGATGCAGGATCACTTCATCACTCACAAGCTGCTAATTTCAAGTGCAATCTACTTCATTTGGCAAGAAAGAAATGCAAGAGCATTCAGGAATAAATCTTCTCCACCTACTCATGCTATTCACCTCATCAAAGGTTGCATCAGAGCACGATTTGCCTCTCTTAAGCTAAAGCACAACTCAGACATTAGGAGGATTACTTCTCTGGAAGGAATGCATCAGTTATTCTTACAAGGTTGTTCATATGCTCATGGCCGGTCATGGTTCCTAATGCAATAGTTCTCTTATCAATTCTTACTGCTACTTGGAGTTCAACAATGAGAGTTCATCCTTGTGAATCAACAATGGGAGTACACATGTTATAACTATGTTTGGAAATTGGGAGTACACATTGCTCTAGCCTGCTGTAGAATCCCCTTCTACCAAGGAACATGTTCCTTTGGTTTGTTTAGTTGGTTGGAACACTTTGTACATATTCTTTTTATTTATAAAAGTTTACCCTTTTAACAAAAAAAAAAAAATAATAATAAAAAGAAAAAAAATAAATAAAAAGAAGAAGAAGAAGATATTAAAGCTATTTTATTCTCCACACAGGTGTACTGTAGTTCCAAATTTATTCCTCTAATGAGTGTCACACAAGAGCTTGAGAGCATGGAGCCTTTAATTCTAAAGAAAATTGGGGCAAAGGGTTTGGGATAAATGTTGCTTGCCAAAGAGAGCAGGTGATCTTGGATTGCCAAATCTCCACACATGGAATGAGAGTGCAATAATGAACCACTTCTAGCACATAATCAAGTCAAAAGGACATGTTGTGGGTAAAATGGATCAACACCTATCTCTTAAAAGAAAGAAGTATTTGGGAGGTCAAGGTCCTGGGCCAATGTTCATAGAACTGGAGGAAAATATTGCTTAGCCTTAAAGATACAATTAAACCACTTGTCAGGGTAAAAATTGGAGATGGTTCAACCTCTAATTTTTGATTTGACAACTGGTGCCACCTTGGTCCTTTGCACCAATTGACATCTCCACAAATGATCTCACTTTCAGGCTATCACAGCAAAACAAAGGTAGGATCCTTCATTACCAACAACTCATGGTCCTTTCCCCCTTCCATACTATCCATCATTCCACAGCTTCAGCATATAACCAACCTCCCCAACCCACAAACCAGCTGCAGTGATGACCACATTTGGATACCGTCACCCAATGGTCAATTTTCCATACCACACTCCATAAAACACTTCAACAAGCACCACCCAACCCTACTTTGGACTCACCTAGTGTGGACCAAACCCTCTATCCCTAAACACTCTTCCACACTCTGAGTGGCAATCCAACAAAAACTTCCTAGCTTGAACAGAAGATGTACAACACGCATTAACTCCACGTTGTGTACCTTTTGCAACACAAAATTAGCCTTGTATCTTTTCTTATTTAATCCAATTTAACTTTAACTTTTCAAAAAAAAAAAGAAACAAAAGGAAAGTATTTAGAATTTAAAATCTTGGGAAAAAAAGAGAGAGAATTCTTCAGATTAAGAGGGAATGAAGAAAAATTACTCAAAATAATATGTCAATCAACGAGTAATTTAAGAAAAGATAAGCAGTTAACAAAAATTTTAAAAAGAAAAGAAAAATGGGAGAACTTTGAAAGAAAAAAAACTTGGACTTTGATTCAAAAAAGGAAAATTTGACCTTTTTGTTTTTTAAAAGGAAATTAAACGAATTTAAAGAGTAACAAAGGGAAGAAAGAAAAATTTAATAGATAAATTTAAAAAATAAAAATTTTAGAATGACCATTATATGAATTTTTCATATCAGATAAAGAAATACAAAATTTAAGAAATAATTTTTAAAAACAAAAATTTTAGGAGGTATTATATATGACTTTTTTCATATATACATATATATAGAAAAATATATAAATTTAGAATATGTATTATAGTAAGCAGACCAAGGGACACGTGCCGTATTTTCCGCCCCACTAATTATGAAGTATTTTTTCACAAGAAAATACCTTTAAAAATTCGCTCAGTAATTAAAAATCACCACCATAAAATAAAATAAAAATAAAAATAAAAAATTAGATTCCAAGAAGCTCAAAAATTTTGGGAAAAAAGAGTATAGGACTAAAACGGTGCCGTTTGGTGTATACTAAATATTGGGGGTGACAAATTATAACACGACACGACAACCCGACACGAGTTAAAAAGTTTTGGGTTTTGAGATACCCCTCGGATCCGAGACACGGGTTGATCAGGCCCAGGCCCAAACCCGAGGGATGTCAAACAATTAATATGTAATCGAATACAGAATACAAGATAAAATAAGAATTAAAAATAATAAGCTGAAAGAATGCTAATTGAAAATTCTTAAAATAATATAATTATTTAAAATTCGTTAAATCTAAACTCCATAGGATTACAACTTGGGAATCCATCCATTGGACCCCTTATTAAAGATTCTCAAACCGAAACTGAAAATAATAGAAATAAAGACTAAAGCTAACATAAAGGAGATTCCTACATAGTCGGAGGAATGAATATCTGTATCTGCTCTGCACGTCCAAGCTCTAACCCTGGAACTGACGAACACCTGAAAAATAAAGAAGTGGGTCAGGCCCACATGCAAGTCCTGATTTACTACAATCCAACAGTAATCCGATACGCAGATACATTCTAGGAAGACTCAACAATATCTAGAGTAGTCCATATAAGTATATAGTACACACTATAGGACGCTCGCTAGTCCAGTAGGTCTGTCTCAGCCTGAATAGAAGGTAACATGCGAATACGCACCCTAAGGTGGGCATGAGTACCTAGACCTACCAGGGAACAACACTTATGTCCAGTTATCCATCCTAGGCAATATATGCGCCCTAACCATGGTTATGAGACTCAAGCTCAAACCACGGCACCATATAATATATATTTAAAGTCCGTACTCCTCCTAATACAAAATACCATCCATCTGTGTAGTGGTCTGATATATGTATAACCAATCCATCCTGAAACCATAGTAGGTCATTCAATTCTCAATTGATATGACACAAGTAGGTGATGGACTTAACCTATATGATTAATCCATACCTTAATCCATGTTAGATAGGACTTAGTATTTAATCTAGTCCATATCTAGTATGTCACCGTCCCATACCAGTACATACCATCCTCTAGTTAATACGGTTGATAATACAGTGTTGAATAGTCATCAACCATTCCCAGAACAAGCACAAATACAGTTTACCATATATATAACCAATTTATGCATCCAATATAAGAATTTGAATCCCAATTACCGTCCATTAATATGGCAAAATAAAACTATACACTTAACTCCTCCGAACAGTGTCATAATAGATACAATTTATAACAGATTTAATCATCAGTTAATCCCCACTAAGCATGCATATTATTAAACAGCAGTATGCTTATAACACAACTGCAAAACATGATTTATAATTCCAAGACATGCAGAGAAACCAACTTATTAAAAATTGAGTAATTACCAATTTATATCAAACCTTACCCCATACAGGTTTATTTTGAAACCTAGGCTAATTCCATCCCAAATTCTTGGATATAAGCTTGCTTCTCAATTCATATATAAGTCTTAAGCAGTGTATTACATCATTTAGTAGCCTTGAAACAGTTTCAGAAACTCAGTCTCAGCCAAACAGTCCATTAAAACTCAGTACGCGCAAAAACAAAAGAGAGAGAAGGCTCTGAAACTTGGAGAGCCTTCTCCATTCAAGGGGAGCCGACTCCCCACCCTTGGGAGCCGGCTTTAGGCTGTTAAGAGCCGGCTCTCAACCCTAGAGAGCCGGCTCTAGCTTTGTGGGAGGCGGCTCCCTCCTTTTGAGAGCCGTCTCTCACACCCTTAAGAGCCGTTTCCCCTGTATTGCTTGTCTTCTCCGACCCCGGTGGTTTCCAGACATTGAATACAGTTATATTACATGTATTAAGGTTCCATCCTCATCCCAGATTGATCACAAGGTAGAATTATACAACTTAGAATTTAATTAAACATCAACTTTTAAAGCAACGATAACAAGATTCAACACTGAACTGTTAAAACAATTGAAACTGGATTTATTCAATGCTTCAATATTCTGATTAAACATGTTTAAAAGATGTAATTAAAACTTAGTTTAATCCCTGGAGTCTTCCTAAGCATACACAGAACACAAATTAAAGGGATAGAGAAGAACAGAGACTTGCCTTTGAATTTCAGATTTGAAATTCTAATTCACCGTCTCTGTGTGACATGTTTGTGTCCTACACTGTAGTTCCCCACTACCACGCTCCTTCCTCCTTGAGTTGCTTTGCTAATCACCCAAGTTCACTTTGTGTTTCCCTTAAATCTTTCTCTCTGTATTCCCCCCATCTCACTGTATAAGTGAATATGGTGAATAGGGTTTTATTTGTAACCCTAAACCAACGTATAACAACATATATATAGACACTACAGAAACCCTAAGTCCATAAAGATATAACTCGGCCCATAGATAAACCTAGGTTATAATCACGTCGGCTACCTATGTAAATTTAAACCTAACTTATAAACCTAACTTACAATAAGCAAGTAAATTAAAAAATGAAAACAATTAATTAATAACAATTCTATCAGGTAATTAAATTAAATAATACAATTTAATGAAAATTAAAGCCAAATAAATAATTAAAACAATTAACTCAAATAATCACAATTAATGTAAATAATTCAAATAATTAATTAAATCAAAGAAAACAAGTAAACCAAATAATTAATTCAAATAATACAAATAAGTCAAGTAAGTCAAATAATTAAAAAGTCAATTAAAACATAAATTAAATACCAGGACTATCCTTTTGAAATTAGGGGTATTACAGGTTTGGCATAAATAGGTTTGGGTCATAAAAGGGTTGACACAATTAACCCGTTTACTTAACCGTGTCGGGTTAGGGTTGAGGGGTTCAACCCATGTAACCCGTTTATGACCCATTTAACTCAACATATTATAATCGTAAATATAAGCTATGTAATATGTTACCTGTTTAAACCCGATTACTATGGATAATTAAGTTATTTCAACATAAACCTTGTCTATACCTTATAATTTTTCTTTTTATTTTGAATATTGGGTTAATTATGACAATTTTTTCTATTATTTTATACTTGATTAAATATTAAATGTCTCGTTTTAATAAACAGGTTATTAAACGGGTTAACACGATTACCTGTTTAATAAATGGGTTGGGTTAGTGTTGAGATTCTTGACACGATTATTAAATGGGTTGG